TTGAGGGATCATTACCTGGCACATGACACAGCTTTTCTTCCTTCCTTTCTTGTTAGTAGGAGATTAACCCTGGAAAACCCTTCTTTTTTTTTTTTTTTTTTTGAGACAGGGTCTCATTAAGTTGCTGGAACTAGCATCTGAACTTTTGATCCTCCCTAAAGCTCCTGAATGGCTCAGATTATAGGTATGTACCATTGAACCCAGCTCACAACTTTTAATTCTGAAAGTTCTGGTCCATTAGTGATCTTGCCTTAGTGGGTTATAGAGCCTTCCATTAACTTTTTCACTTTATGTGGAAGTGCTAAGAGAAACCTTCAGAAAATCTCTTTTGAGTTCTAATATCTTCTCCCTGTATAGTAGTCATTTTTAATTTTAATAATCAGAATAAATCATAGTATCTGTTATGGTTTAGATTTAGGTGTTCTCCAAAAGCTCGTGTATGAGACAATGCAAGAAAGCTTTGAGGTGAAATGATTGGTTATGAAAGCCTTAATCTAATCAGTGCATTAATCTTGTGATAGGGATTAACTGGGTGGTAACTGTAGGCAGGTAGGGTGTGCCTAGAGGATATGAGTCATTGGGGCCATACCTTTGGGATATATATTTTGTCCATGTAGAGGGGAGTTTCTATCTCTCTGCTTCATAACTGTCATGTCCTGAGCTGTTTCCTCTACCACTCTTACACTATGATATTTTGCCTCACCTTGGACCCAGAGCAACAGAGTTGGTCATCTGTGGATTGAGACCTCTGAAACCATGAGCCTGCAAATAAACTTTTCCTCTTCTAATTGTTTTTGTCAGGTCTTTTGGTCACAGCAGCAAAAAAAGCTGACTAAAACAGCATCCTTACAATGATAACAACTCCTTCTATAGGTTCAACGGCATGAAAAGGCCCAAATAGCCAAGAGGAAGTCTCAGTTCCTAGTTCGTTCGTTAAAATTATGACGTCTCCTGGTACCAATATAACTCCTTCCCCACTTTGAGGACTTGGACTTTAAATTAGTAGAACCAAATGGGAACAGGAAGCAGAAATTTTACAAGTGGGCCATTAGGGATATTAATGAGGCGCATCCATTCTTTGGTTTCTGTATCTGTAGGTTTGGGAAGAAATTAATTACTGGTGCATGATTCAGGACACAGACAAGATCTTATAGAACAGAATCCTAGCCTTGACAGATGTTGTCTTATAACTGCTGCTGTAACTGAGTCTTCATATTTCTATCTGACAGGCTCCTTCAAGGTGATAAAAAATATGATAAGAACCAGTGAATGCCCTGAGCATATGTCAGTTTCCCTGCTTCTTCACAGTTAATTCATTGCTTAGAAGCAATATTTTGTGGGATACCATGATGTATAATACTGAAAAGCATTCAGTAAATGTACATTTGGCATATGTAAGGGTAAACTGTAAGTTCCTCTTCCAGTGAGATAATGCTGCTACTCCTTCCATGATGGAAGAGTTCAGCAAAATCAGTTAGTCATGTTGGCAAGTCAACTTTAAATTTTTGTTTCTTGAACCCAGGGCCTCCCATGTGTTAGGTAAGCACTCTGCCACTGAGCTGCATTCTAGGCCTCCCAATTTTAAAAAAAAAATGACAAATGAAAATTTTATGTATTGGTGAAAATGTGATGTTTTGATAACACACCTATCACCATACCTAGAATCTATTCTCTATAAGCAATTTTTAAGTCCCCAGTATATTATTATTAACTATAACCACCATGCTGTGCAGTAGATATCCAGAACTTATTTATCCTGACTGAAAGTTTGTACTCTTCAACCAGAAAGTTCCCATTTCCTTCCCTCCACCAGCCTCTAGTAACTACTATTCTATTGTTTCTATGAGTTTGATTATTTTAGATTCAATGTAAGTGAGGTCATTGACTATTTGCGTTTTGGGACTTAGAAGAAACTTCTTTAAAATTGTTGTAACGGGTTCCTGGGTTTGTCAAATTACATTAACTAAAAACTATCCTTTTATAAAAACCTCCAATGCTAGAATAGAATAGTCATTATGTTATGAGGTTTGTTGTTGCTTTTGATAGTGTGAATGAACCCAGAGGCATTTTACCACTGAGCTACATGTACAGCCCTTTTTATTTTTATCTTGAGATAGGGTCTCTCTAAGTTACTCGGGGTCTTGCTAAAGTACTGAGGTTGGTCTTGAACTTGTG